TAAACCCTGGATGGCAGAGGATTCCTTTTTTATCCTGTACTAGAGTCATTACTTTCCTTGGGGGAGATATGTTTCAGTTTGACCAAAGGCCACTGAAATTCCCCCAGGTTGGGAATGCCAAAGTCAGGACAAATCTGGGAAAAGAGTATCATATTGTTTTGAGAAATTGCCATGTGATAGGAATGCTGGAGAAATGCCACCCTCTGAGCATTTTTTCCAGGCAAAATTATCTGCTGGATTAAAAAAGAATATTGTACATTTTCCCAACTTAGGCCTTGGTCCAAAAATATGACTTCTTCAATATCCAGTGCTCATGGGCACAACATTTTGCAAAAATAATCACAATTTTCAGAAAATGGGTCAATTGGTTGTAGACCCTTGTAAGAAAGTCCCATATGCACGTTATTCCGTATCTTGTATGTGTTATTATTGAATTTTTGATTTAATCCCAAACTACCAGCAGATGCAGAGTGAATTTAATCTCGTGGATTCCTTATTATAGAAGAAGAACAGCATCAGGAAAATATGAGAGCTGGTATGGAAAGAAGCATGAGAAGACCGCCGAGACACGCAGTTTTCCAACAACGAATGCCGTCTTGGAAGCCCATCATGAATGCCGGCACAGTGATCCCCTTATTCTTCGCAGTCTCCTTCATCTTCCTGGCCTTTGGTTCAATCATCGCGCTTTTCAATTCCAAAGTGAAGACCTTCGAGTTGGACTACACGGACTGCGAGTCCCGAGATGGACGCATTTGTCNTGTACAGTATTTCATGAGTACTGTATAAATATAATTTTTTAATTTTGGCTTGCTTGTTCAAGGATAGTCACAATCATACTATAAAAAAGAAATTTGGCTCAAGGTAAACTCTATATTTTCTGAAATTCTAAAATTTCAGCCAAAAAGAAAAAAAACTACTATATATGCACTCTATTTATTTTCACATTTTCTTCAATGGTTTAAATGATTCAAAATTTTATTTTAAGAATAGCAATAATAATGTCAAAAGTTCAGAGCGTCAAACGATTAAATAGATGAATTGGTTTTAATCAAGCACTCTTTTGCCTCAAAAACTTCTTCTAATGAAAAAATCCGTTATATTATAAGACGGACATATGAAAATTTTGAGGACTTTTTGTTCCCCAAGTCATTCATTATGCGAAGACCCACTTCTAGATACTGTAATAAAAACTTTTTGCGTTTTTATACATGCTTCCAGGAGATATGCCAAGTCATTCGATGCGACGCAACTCTCTGGAACAATCAAGAACCAAGTGACTGAGGACTGTTACCCCATGGACTACCTCTTGGTGGACAAAAGGAGAACCCCGATGATGCCCTGCGGCATGATTGCCAACAGCATGTTCAACGACACCTACGAGATATTCTATTCAAATTCTTCAATTCTCTACAGGGAAGGTCCGGAAAACATGTTCTTTCTGTGACTCCACGACGATGAATAACTTTGAAGACCGTTTGCGTCATTTTCAGATTCAGCAGATGAAAATGAAACACGGATTCCGATTCCGATTCGTCGCACGCAAATAGCGTGGGAAATTGATAAAAAGAGACGCTTTGGCAACCCTCGAGGATTCCATTTGAATCATGCTGAAGCTTTCAATAGAACTGTGAGACCAGTTTCTTGGAGAAAGTCAGTTTATGAACTGGATCCAGAGAATCCTGGGAACAATGGACTGCAGAATGAGCCACTTATGGTGAATTTCATCCCTCGGGGTTGGATGGGATATTTAATGAGCTTTGAATATATTGTATGTGGTTTTTCTAAAATTTCAAATATTGTAAACAGTATTTTTAAAATCCTTCGCAAAATAGTACTGTAATAGGAACACTATTGAATCTCAGCCAAACTCAATGAAACTCCACTCAATTCAATTCCTGTTGGGTACAACGCCCAAAAATATACAGTACTGTGGGGCCCCCGCTTTAAAAAATATTATTTGCAAAAATAATTTTCCAAAATTTTCAGGTGAACATTCAGTGACCTACAAAACAGCAATTTTCATCAAAAATATCGTTTTAAGTGTAATAGGTCATTTTGAGCTGAAACTCTGGAATTTCCAATTACTGTTAATAAACTGTGAAAATAATTGTATAGTTTTGTCCTTTCTTGTCTTCAAATTTTGAGAATTTCGGAAAGTTAAGTGTACCATGATCCATGAACTGCCAATCATCATTTTCTAACTGATTGATATTCTCATTTTTTCCTGATCAAATGGAATAACAAATCACAGCACAAGGAGCATAAAGTAGACCCATAACTTGAAGAGGCAGATTGAGATAAATTGAATAATAATGGTTAATTATTTCGGGAATATTGGGTAAAAGCTTCAAGTCTGCACTTCTGTATGACTTTCACTTGGTTTTTCATTGAATCCCTTTTCTTAAATTCAGACTTGTTCTTAATACTGTATACTTGAATTCCAATTTATGAAACAATGCAACTCAAAAATATCTTGCACACATTGTTTAAGATCATTGTCCTTGCTCAATTCTTCCCTCTGATTGAAAAGGCAAGTTGAAAAGAGTCTGTGCTTGTTTAAATAATTTAGTTATATTTGTATGGCTCAGGCTTACGAAATTTAAATGCAACATAACTCAACTATCATATAATTTACCAATGGTTTCAAAGAATAGGGATAGTTGGGATTCTTTGATGCTTGTCCATCTTAAAAATTAATGGTTGGTTGTTGGAGTATACATTGAGGTATATAACATTAAATTGAATTTCTAAATTTACTGTCAAGAATCTGGAGTTCAGTGGATTGGTTTTCTAAATATTGGCTATTTTCATATTCTGCAGTTTTGGAGATATTTTTCAAACAAAATTTTTCTGGAATAGAACAATATCCTGCCCAAGTGGGGAAATTGGTGCTCACTGGTGATATGTTGGTAATTCTATACAGTGACCCTGCTGTGCACTTGAACTGTACCAAAGTTCTTCTGTTGCAAATGCATATCCCTAATGTTCACGAATTGTGTGTTCAGACCAGGATTACTCAGGGTCATATTTGTGAACAACTAAGTTACACCAAGGTTACAGCTGGTGCATTTGTGTGGTACTCCTGTTATTTCACATTTGTGCACCAAATGTAGCCCAGGAATGGTAGCAAAATTTTGTCTACAGAGGTGCATGCTTGTAATCACAGAATAGCCCATGTACACCAATTGTGACCCCAGTTTGCACCATTTGTGGGGTCACTCAAAGAATAGCACCCCACTTGGGCTGGCATTGCTGAGGTGAGACTGAGTAGCCCATGTATTTTAACTAAGTTTTTAGTGACCTCTGATCAGTCTTTCATCATTTTTCATAGCTTAGAAAGAAAATCTGATGTAGATGTCGCACTACAGATATGGATGCGTCCGGCCGCCTTTTCAACATTCAAGAAAATCTACGGCAGAATCGACCCTTGGACCAACTCCTCGTCGTATCGGGCCATCGGCAGGATCATCAACGACATCTTCACGGCCCTGCTGTCATTAGGAAGTCACAGACATCCGATCGTTCTTCCTCCCGGCGTGTACACCATCAAGATTGGGTACAACTACCCCGCTACCTCGTGGCGGAAGTCAGTATCGGTCGTGTCTACTTCGTATTTCGGCGGCAAGATGGGGTTCCTGTGCATCGGATATTTCGTCGTAGGGACGCTGAGTTTCTTTTTGGGGATCGGGTTGATCTTTGTCCATGTCTTGTGGGGGAAACGAACTGCAGAGTTGATTGGCATTGACAGAAACACGCCTTATTTTATGCCAGGGAGGCAGAAACCTTCTTGTACCTTCTTCATGTGAAATCTGAAACTTTGACTTTGTGAAGTGTTATTTGCTGGTGATGTTTCTGGAGCCGGATTTTGAAATTGCAAATGTAGCAAAAAAGCTTTGTTTTTTTTTTTTTAATGTCTGCGCAAGAAAAAAATTCAAGAGGGGAATCCTTCAGTCGCGGGTTCTACAGTAAGGTTTGGTAAAAACATTCAGTCCTTATCCCTTGTCATTGAACACTCAAAAATATGAATTTATAATGAATGTGGATGTATTTTTTCGTTTAAGCGATTTGAAAGAATAAAATCGATCATCTGGTAACGCCAGAACTAAAGGTTCACTGAGTAAATTCCATATTTCATAACTTCTAAGCTGTGACAAAGATTAAATATTAAATTCAGAATATTTCCCTACAGAATTTATTTTGATAACCATGCTGAGCCGGTTCGCAGATATGATTATGATCACTTCAAATTTCGTGGTGAGCAAAGAATGAGAAATTGATTTTAAATAACTCAAATAAAAGCATGTACAGTATTTTCTTCCAAGGAAGCACTTGCTTCCACTTCAGGTTTTTATCCTAAGGAGCTTGCTTTACTGTTCAGTGGATTCTGCTAAACTTGAAAGACACGTATATATAACGCAAATTTTACAATTAAAAATTTCTTGAAGGGAAAAGATAGAATCGCATTGATAAATATGATTGAAATTGACCTAGTTTTTTCCTTGAAACTCAAATTGCGAAGACAAGTTCAATGGAAGGAAACATTTTTTCCCCATCTGTAAATCTGGATAATGTATATATTTCAGAAAGCATGAGGAACTCAAATTCAAATACAGTACAATACTGTACAGGGAATTTACTTTATAAACTATACATGCACTTATACAGTCCAGTTAGTTGACCAGCTGAAGGAAAATCTAGTTTAGTTAAATCTGTTTTTAATTTTTCAACTCCTAAGCTTTTTGATTGCTAACTTGAGCACTGCTCTTCCCAAAAAGTATGATTGAATGATGAGTAATTATGGGAAACAATTCATGCTGTGGATCAGGGAGAGATCAGGCAATTTACTCCCTATACCATAAAATTAGGTGAAAGCAAAAAAATTGAAGTAAAACAACTTCCTTGGCTTTTAGAGATCCTTAGCAAAATAAGCTTAGTCAAACTAAATTTTTAGAGTAGTTCATGGGAAAAGAAGTTGCAGCTGCTGGATGCAATGGCTCAGCCTCATTTGGTGCATGACATCTCACTGGAAAATGATCAAAACCATCCTCAGCAGTTGGCAATTTCAATGAATAATCTTCACAACTCCAACATTTCAAGATGTGTTATTTGCATCTTATGGTTTAGCACAGTTATTCTTTTTAGTATTCCTTGCATGAATAGACAGGGCTCATGCAATAAATGGGAGGATGAGATAATTTGAGAGAAGAGTACCTGGTTCACTTAGCAGCACTATGTAACGGACAGAAAGTAGTTGGGATCCAGGCCCATTTGGGCTGAACGTGAAGCCAATTAGCCCACCCGACTGTAGCTCTATTTGTTCTCAGTGGTGGCCTGTATACACATGACTCTTCTTTTTTCCGCATGTGTGTGTGTGTGTGTTTTGTTGTTGTTAGACAGGGGTTATGATATCGGGAAGAGGAAACATGCGAGAGGATGAGGACAGCAGAGACGCAGGAGGTCTTCACATGGGCCTCAGCAAAACGCATAATCAAGTCACGGAGGGCGGGAAGGCAGAAAATTGATAATCCTGTGGACAGGCAACAATGCGCAGAGCTGGCACGCGAACATGATCCCTCTCCGCGCAAGTGTTGCCAGGTGCGGGAGTACCGTACCGGTCAGAGAGCCCGCAGTTATGCTCACACCCTGCGTTAAGCTAAAAATCTGTGGACACTGCTGTAACCCATATTGTTTCCTGAATTCATCTTGTTGGGGGGAAAAGTGACTATGTTGTTGATGACGAGGTCTTTAATTCCTACTTACTGAATATATCATTATTCGAAACGGTGTGTTAACAACTGGACTTCCTTTGTCAGAGGTCCGTCGTCCGGATGTCTGAAGTCCGTAACTACAAGTAAATATAAACACTGCATCTGCATGTTTTCTATGGGAAAAACACATCAAACACAAGTTGTTTTTGGGAATCTATTTTTTGTGCTTCTCCTGAAATTAAAGAAACAACAGAATACAGACCTGGTGCAGCTTATTCAACAGAAAATTGATTTGAATAAAAACTCCCTGCACTTAAAAAAGCCCTTCCAGACAGAAAATGCATGCAAGGACCCACAGTACTCTATAAGCCTATATCTCCTGATAAAAAAAATGCATGATTGTATGGTATTGAGAAATTAATGACTCAAGTAAGAAACTTCTTGAGTAAGACAAACCAATTCTTTCCATTATTTTCATCAAACCACTAACTGTGATTCATAGAACCAACTATCAGTAAAAAAAACTATCAATAAATGTATAGAACTAAAAATTGTTCAATTGGTGAAAATGGAAAAATTTCAGCTTTTGAACTGCAGCTTTATTCCCGAAGGGAAAATCAGAGAGAAACCAGGAGAGGAATAAACAATTTGAAATTTCTTTGCAGCTTTCAATTGATCCTCTGAAAATAATTACTGCTTCAAAATGATCTGTGGCTTCTATTCCATGGTTGTTTTCAGTTTCTGCACCTTGATGCTTTCATGACTTGATGCTTTCAAAGTCAAAACTCCCTTCAAGACATATTTGTTTCTAGTTCAAAGCATTATAAGCCCTAACCTCCCTAACCTCCAAAACTGGAAGCCTCTGTAATAAGTATTTTTGCTGGTCCCATGTAACTTAGAAAGGTCCAACTGTGTACAGTGCAGTATTTTTTTTTCCTTCAGGCTGAAATAAATCACTGCATTCTTCATGAGAAATTGTGAATTGAATGAAAAGCAATGTCTTAACTCTAGAGCAGTGTTCCCAAACCTGTTTGGGCCTGCAGAAAAATAAAAAAATGTTGCAGGCCAGCAAATTTCCAAAGAATTTTCCGCAGACCAGCAAAGCTTCATAATTTTTTTGCAGACTTGCCAAAGTTTTGCTTGGATGTTATTAGGCAGGTTGACACCAGAAAAATTCAGTTTAGAACATCATCAAGTAATTAGGAAGGTGGGCTTGAAGAAAGGTTTCTCAGAATGAAAAATTAAAATAATTTATTTTAGCAAGTGAAAATTTATCTGAAGTGTTAT